TTGTGTTTTGTTTTTTGCTTTGTGTTGTTGTAGAGAGGTAGGGCCTCTCTACATAGCCCCAGCTGGCCTCAAACTCACAGAGACCCACCTGCCTCTGCCTCCCAAGCGCTGGGATTAAAGTGGTGTACCACAGCACAGAGCTGCTTCCTTCTTCTTCTTCTTTCTTCTTCTTCTTCTTCTTCTTCTTCTTCTTCTTCTTCTTCTTCTTCTTCTTCTTCTTCTTCTTCTTCTTCTTCCTTCTTCTTCTTCTTCTTCTTCTTCTTCTTCTTCTTCTTCTTCTTCTTCATTTTTTTTTTGAGACAGGGTTTCTCTGTGTAGCCTTGGCTGTCCTAGACTCACTTTGTAGACCAGGCTGGCCTGGAGCTCACAGTGATCTGCCTGCCTCTGCCTCCCAGAGTGTTGTTATTACAAGTGCGTGCCACCATGCCTGGCTGCACCCAGCCTTTTTGACAGTTCCCAGCTTAAGGAGACTCTTGTCTTATCTATCTATAATCTCTATTTTTCTCTTTATCTATCCCAATCTTAGAACCCAGGACCTCACTCACTCTCCACCACTGAGCCAGGACCTTTGCCCAGAGGATCTTTAATGTAATCTCAATAAAATCCAAGCTGCACATAGTCTAAGAGAATCACTGGGCTCCATTAAAAGGCTCCAAACAGCAATTAAACACTGGCAGTTGGGATTAAAGGTGTGTGCTACTGCCACAAGGTACTTTAATCCCAACACTCAGGAGTCAGAGGCAAGCAGATCTCTGAGTTTGAGGCCAGTCAGATCTACAGAGAGAGTTCCATGACAGCCAGGGCTACACAGAGAAACCCTGTCTCCATCATCATCATCATCATCATCATCATCATCATCATCATCATCATCATCATCAACATCATCATCGCTCACATTTCCCATCAGGAAGGAATCCAAGTGTTAGCCCAGAAGGGCACCTCAGATCTCCATTGACCCCTTCCCTCCCTCCTGCCAGCTGTGTCAGAGCCAGTCTCCCTAACCTCAGCTTTTCCCTCTTCCTCTGCTTCTTTCCCCCAACTGCTATCCAGCAGATGTGCCAAGCCTACTGTCCACTCAGCATCTCTGCTTTGCCCTTACCCTGGTTCTGCACCACAGAGGAGAACCAGGAGCTAGTCAAGGCCCAGGAATGTTCTCCTTTCAGCCCTGGCCCTGCATGCACAGCACAGTTCTTCCGGGGCCCAACATACAAAGCCTCTAATAAAACTAAAACAGCGTGTAGCAAAGTGCAGCATGGCTGACCAGGCACAAATAAATTCTCTCCAGAGAAGAATGTGAATAGGGGCCTGGAGCTGGCGTGTCAGTCACCCTGGATCCCTTCTTTCCTGCCCACAGCTCCTTTCTGAGGAGGAGTTCGGTTCCCTTCCACTTCCTCAGTGCTTGCAGGGTTATAGAGCAGGCCCATGTGTGGCCCAGGACAGAGGAGAAACAGGTACCGATCTGTGCCTCTGAGAGAACCGTGCCCATCAAAGGCTAGTTTGGTGCAGAGACCCTGCACTGTCTGCTTGAAGACACCAAGGCTGTTCCCCGTGTCTGGTTACCCAGTTGCAGAGGACCGATGGAGAAATGGAGATGCTCTCCACAGCACTGCAACTGCTGGGGTCCGGGGGATAAACACAAAAGCAGAAGCAAAATCCCACTGCCTGCTTAGAGTCCACACCTTTCCTGCAGGAGCCAGGGGGAGGGCTATGAGCACAAGTCTCAGGACAGCCCTGCTGGATCCCAGGGCTTGGGGCAGGGAAGAGAGTCCTACTTTCCACAGCCAGGCCTGAGCCAGCAGGACTTCTTCTGTCCCAAGCAAATCAATCGAAGTCTTGGCCAAGCCTGTTTGAGTTGGTGAGGAACCAAGTGGGACGTGCAAGCTGCCAGTGTTTGCTCTGGAGATGGAGAGAGCCAAACAGAAACGTTGCTTTGGAGCTAGACGCCAAACAGCGATTGGCTTATTCTGCCAGTAGGGCCAACTCTGAGCGTGCAGCCCATCCCAGTTCTCTGCTCTCCAAAGCCTTCTTGTTGTCCTTAAAGGTAGCTTGCCAATGCACCCCACATCCGGAGACCTGCGTACCCCACATCCGATGACCTGTGGATCCTGGGCACCCTTCTGGATCTGGGGCCTAGAACTCCAGATGTGGCCTCCTGTTTTCACATTCTGAACCAATTCTATTTAGAGACACACTCACAGGGCCCTTTGTGGGTGTCTACCCTCTGTACCCTGCTCAGTTTCCTCTCAGTCACCCTGCAGCCAGCCTTCCCAGCCCCTAACAAGCCCAGGGCAGAGAGGACTGAGCACCAGGAAGCACCAAATCCTGGACTGGCAAGATTTTTTTTCTTGTTCTCTTACATGTGTTCAATTTGGTACTTATAACCAGTCGGTTTCATTACACTTTGAAGCCATACCTGTGGCCTCAAAGGTGCAGACACCCTGTCTCCTGGCTCCAACACTGGGCACTCTCCAAGCAGGCCTTCCTGGCAGAGGAATTTTAATTCAGAACATGGCTTCTCTGGCAACAGAACACATCCAAAGACTTTCTAGGTCTGTGTGATCAGGCTGGATTACAGACATGCCTTTAATCCCAGGAGACAGAGGCAAGCAGACCTCTGGTTCAAGGCCAGTCTAGTATAGAGCAAGTTTCAGTAAAGAAAAGCTTAGGTCCAGACATGGTAGATGAGATGCCTTTAATCCCAGCAGTAGGGAGACAAAGGCACGAAGCTCTCTGAGTTCTAGACGATGCTATTCAGGCAGTTCAGTTGAGTCAGTGACTTGAGAGGCAGTGCAGTGGGGCTGAGTTCATGGCAGTTTCAGTTCATGGAATTCAGGGGCAGTTTTACTGGGAGAGTTTTTACAGAGACAGGTTGAAGAGAGAACAAGATAGACACAGGTGAAGATAGAATGAGCCAGAGAATGAAAAGGAGGCAGAAGATTATAACAGATTGCCAAAGTTAGTATGAGGCCAAGGCAGAGCAATGCAGTCACAGGCAGAGAGAGAAGCCAGATTGAATCAGTCAGCTAGGAGAAGAGTTTGAGCCAGAACAGCTGAGTTGAACCAGCCAGCAAGAGTTCAGAAAGAGCTAGAAAGGGTGAGTTTATTCAGCAGAAAGTCTCAGAGGCTGAAAACATTCTAGGCCTACCTAGAGAAGATTGTGCAAAGGCTAGACGCTTTCAGGACTGGGCTTAGGTTAGCAGACAGAGGCAATAAGAGAAGACAATTAAATCAGTCGAATAAAAGACACTTTGACATCCTGGGACAAGTTTTTCATCTTTTTGTTCACTTCTAAATACCTGGGGAGCCGGCCAGTGGTGGCACACGCCTTTAATCCCAGCACTTGTGAGGCAGAGGCAGGTGGAGCTCTATCAGTTCCAGGCCAGCCTGGTACAGAGCAAGTTCCAAGATGGCCAAGGCTACACAGAAAAACCCTGTCTCAAAAAATAAAAATGCATCAGGAAATTCCCAAGGTTCATGATGGGAGCAGTGGGTGTGTTTACATGTTTCATGTGCTAGGAACATGGGCCAAGAATTAACAGTTGCCTGCTTTGCTCTTGGCCTGAACTGGAGCTGCTACATGGGACCTGCCTGCCCCGCTTAACAGGCTGTTCTTACCATGGCTGTTTCAAGTTTCTCACTGGTATTAAAACCTCAAGTTCCTCCCTCCACCAAAGGGACACAGACACCAGCTTACCTCAGGACCTGGCTTAAGCATCAACACAAGTGCTTCCACCCTTCTGGAGAGATGGATGATGTCTCTACCCAACAGGTCCTCCACATTAGGGCAAATGTCACACCCTCAACAGCAGTTTCTCCTTCCCATTGCTCTCACTGTTCTTACCATTCCTTGGGAGACGGATGTTTCCTCATGGAAATGGCTTGAAGCTCCTAAAAGAAGGTACTCTCTGCATGCCAACAGGAAACTGGCTAGGCTGCTGACTGCTGTGTGGAACTACAGAGAGGGCTCTGAGCATCCATCACAAAACCCCCAGCACACAGCTCACTGAGCACTGGTCCACATACAAATGAAACCGTGACAAAAGCTTTCCTCTCCTGTCCTTGTCCCTGGACTCAGGGTACCACAACTCAAGCCACTGCTAACCATAGGACCCTTTTTCTCCACCATCTACCTCCCCCATTTCTTTCTGGCCTGGCCTCAGCTCAGCTCATGGTTGGGGCCTTTTGTACCCAGCTGTGGGTACCAGTCTCCCTCCAGAGCTTTTCTCTGTTTAAGGTGACACAGCCTAGGCTGTGTGACAAAGGTCAGGAATAGATGGCAACAATGAGAAGAAAGTGGCCACTGGGCTGGCCAGCCTGGAGTGAGAGGTCCTGCTGACCTGGGATTTTTTCAGATGGCTCTCTTGAGATTGTGCCTCCAAGGGACATTTAGCCAGTAGCGATGCACCCAAAAAAAATGCCACCATCTTAATACAGAGTCTTAGCTAACAGGAGGGAAGAGGTCGGAGGGCAAGCTACTGCTGCAGCTGTAGACTTCAAAAGGAGATGATGTAACATGGCCAGTAGGAGGCTCCCCTAGGCAAAACTCCAGGATGTAATCCTTTCTGGTCACACCACGTGCCTTGGCGTGAATGTCAGGGGCAGCAACGTGGACGTCCAAAGAAAAGACACTATAGCAGCGGGTCTCTGTCAGCCTGGCACCTGAATGGGCCAGCCTTCAGGTATCATCACCTGAACCTTGACTGACAGAGCTGCTGGCTGTTGCTGGTTTGTGGGCCTCAGGAAGCTTCCCCAGGCACTCATTGAACCCTTGCTGTTGGGTCCAGGGAGGCTACAGGATGTCCTCATTATCCAGGGCAAGCCTTGAACCTGCCTCTTCTCACTCCCTAGGTCTGCTGGGTGGGAAATCCGCTTTCATGAGCCCTTATCCAGGCCTACCTCCCACAGGTAGGGACAGCCCAGCATCCACACAGCAAGTTTGCGAAGGTGCCCCTGAAGGCTCGTGTTTAATGGAACTGCCACGGCCCACCTCCCAGCGACCTCTAGATCATCATCTCTGAGCTCCTGGAAGCCTTCTGCTGCGGCAGGTCCTCAAGCATCATCCTCAGCACGTTCACAATCTCATAGTACAGCTCCTGAAGCCTGGAGGGCAGAGCGGGAGAGGGGTCCCTGAGGATGGAGCAACCCCAGATGGCTCGCCTCCACACCTCCGCCAGGTGCGCGTGCATCCAAGAGAACAGAGACTTCGGGTAGAACAGAGACAAGAGAACAGAGACTTTGGAATCCTACATCTGTCACTGGGCCGGAGCGCCCAGCCTCAGGTAACTTATTTCTTATGTCATGTGGGCTCCAACAGCAGGAATGATGTGCTGATACCTCGCTGGTACCCGCTCTCTCCTCAGACCCAACACAGGCATGCCCCGGTGCCCTCCTCTGCAGTTGCCCTAGTCCGTGAGGCTTCCAGAGGGATGTCATTGAGAAGTCAGGCTTCTGATGTCTGCTCCTTCTCAGAAATCCACAGCAGGCCCCTGGTGTCCACAGCTCTTCAGCTGCCAGTCAAAACCCCAAACTAGCTGGCTGGCACTGAGAATGAGACATGGGTCAGGTCTCCTCAGATGTCACTGTCTTTTTACTGGCCCAGTGGATCCCAGTGTAACGGGTGGGAAAGGAGCAGATGCTTGTTCAAAGTCACATGGGAAGAGGGTAGCAGAACCACTCTACGGTCCTCCTCATTTGCCTCACCACCTCATACATAGTCCCTGCTCCCTGGAAAGGCCACAGTAAGCAGGAGCCTGAAGGGACAGAGGAGCTGACCTCTCAACACACATGGAAGAGGACTGGGAGGGCAGGCAGAGCAGAATCCCGCCCACCACAAACCCATGCTCACAACAAACAGCCCAGCACCCAGGCATGCACGGGTCCTGCATTCCCAGGAAGGGCTTCATCATACCCTCCTGCCCTGCGCCTTCGTCACCAACCCTTCAACCTCTGAGCATCCCCGGCCTTGAAGAAGCCACGGGACCAGTGACTCACTTGCTGATAATGGTGTCCTGGTTGTCCAGAGTGGTCAAGTACACATCAATAAAGGGGAGGCTAGTGCCGAAGTCATCCAGGACCATGGGGTCTGTGTGCTGCAGGGTCTTCTTGAAGTCCTCCACCAGCTTGATGAAGCTCCTGCCACCACTCTTCTAGAGACAGAACCAATCAGAAAGCAGTGGGCAAGAGCAGCCAAGGTGCAAGGAGAGCTGAAAACCTGTGTGGATGCCAAGAGCCAGACTGTCATCCGGACCGCTGAGCCCGGACCCTGTGAGGATGATCACGGGCCACCATCCCTGATGGGAGGCCACGGGTACCAAGGAACAGGAGGATGTCTAAAGAAGATTCTGAGTGACCTCCTCCAACCCTGAGCAAACCTTGGGCATAGCTAGACTGGCTCTTGAGTTGGTGTCTCCAGTTCAGAAAAGAGGCCAAGGTGCTCTGATGGATGAGAGAGCCAGCAAGGCTCCCAAGGAACAGGAGATGGAACATACGAGGTGGTGCCGATGGGCTTGGGACTTCCAGCCCATCGCGCTTCTCCTTGCCCTGGCTTTAGAAGTATGGGAATATGAGGGTGAGTGACCCGCTGACAGGGCACCCCACCCTCATCCACACTGGAGCCTGGCGCTGAGCCGCCTGGTGCCAGATGAGCCTCAATGACAAGCTCCAACAGAAATGACCCCGTGCTCAGGACCCCACAGTGGAATGCCATCCACGAACTGAGGAATGTCAGAAATAACCTCAGTCCTCAAGAGTCCAAATTAGTCAGAGAAATGCACAGACACAGAAAGACAAACCTGCCTCCAGAGGCTGCAGGGGAAAGGCCGGCCTTAGCCACAGCCACATTTTCCTGAGCCCTCCTGCCCTCTCGTGGAATCCAAAGCCCTTCCTCCTGAACAATCCATTAGCCCTCACCATCCCTCTGCCGACCTGTCTGCTCTGTCCTCCATCAGGAGCCACCTACCTGCGTGTTCATCAGCCTGTTGACATCCTCCTGCTGGCGCTTCAGGATCATCTGCTTCTCCTCCATAAGCGTCAGGTGCCTTTCCACCATCAGCTCCCGCTGGAACTTTTTGATGGAGTCCTAGCAAGGCCAAGTATACGAGGCGAGATCATGACCCTGCTCCTGTCCTTTCCATCCCCAGCCCTTTTCCTGGCCTAGCTTGCTCTGCTGCTCAGGCCTCGGCAGAAAGTCCCACCCCACCTGGGGCCAGCCCCCAACTCAAATTGCCAGCTGCAGTAGCAACAGTCTCCTCAGCTCCGCCGTCCTGCTGGCCCCCATTGTGAGGTGATGAACTTAGGGGGAATAATCGGGTACACATGACAGGGGGGCCACCACTTCATACGGCAAGTCCAGCTCGTCCAAGAAACCTGGCCCATACCTTTATCTGCCACGCCTAACCTGAGTGGCACGTGTGCATGCACACACAGGCACACACACATGACACAGCCTCACCTCCGTGTGCATGATCATCACACCCACAAACATGTTGAGGAAGATGAAGGAAGCAAGCAAGATGAAGATGATGGTAAACGTCCGGCTCACAGAAAACTTCCGCTTGTCCAGCTCTTCCTGCAGGTTTGTCCAGCCATCAACCTAGGCAGGCAGGGCAGGGCAGACTGACATCAAGGCCCAGCAGAGTAGGTTTCCATGACAGCTCTGCCAGGGGGGCATCACACCCACTGAGGTGGCTGCCAACTCAGCCTCCACACAGGTCCTTCAAAACAACATATATATACAGTATGTGTGTATACATATATGTGTGTACATGTATATGTGTGTATATACATATACACACACACACACAACATATATATATATATATGTTGGCTCAGAAATGCAGGGTACCCCTAAGGAGTCTCTTCTCTCAAGGCCCCCCCATCTTCACCTACCAGGCACAGCCTATTTCCAGACCCGTCTTTGAAAAAAACAAAAACAAAACACATTTTTTTAAAAAGCCACCCTTTATATAATTCAAAAGCCTGGACTTTGAGACTTGCACTTTGCTTATTCTGGGTGGATTTGTAACAGCTTATTAAAAAAAAAAAAAAAGCTGTATACTGTGGGCTTCATTTATAACTTAAGGTTAATCCAAATTAAGTCTCACTTGAGAAGTCTAGCAACCCATGGAATGACTTATAAAATTACGGGATTAGAGTCAGGAGCGGAACCCGCTGGCTTCTGACCTGTGCCAGCATGCCAACCCCCAGATCTCTCACACCCAATACCAAGCACCTGAGCCTCAGGAAGGCCCCACAGAGGCCCAGAATGGCTACACGCTCACCCTTCCTGGACCATCCCTTTGCCAGGCTCTGCCCTTACCACAGTTCCCAAACACAGTACCGTGGCCAAACTGAAGAGGGTGAAGAATGCTGCGGCCAGGTTCCCCCAGTTATTCAGATCACCATTCTCCGGAACTCCGAACAGGCAGAATCCCAGGATCGCGAAGATGTACATGAGGATGAAGAGCAGCGTCAGCACAGAGGCCACGGTGTAGACTGTCTGCCCCACAGCCGTGATGAGAGTCTGCAAGGCAGGGAGGCAGAAGCTAGGAAAGAGCTGCCTGCTGAGCCTACCCCATTCACAGCTGTCCTCAGGACTGCAAGCCATTCCTGGCACATAGTAGGTGTTAAATAAGTATCACTTGAATGAATGAATGAATGAATGAATGAATGAATGAATGAATGAATTTTGCCCAGACTTAGGTCTCCATCTGTCTCACCCTATGTTGTCGGCAGCCTGCACACGCTGTCCTGGGTCTGGGTCACTTTTCCATCAGCCCCACTGACCTCTCTGTTTGAACTCAGTCTGACTCTGTGGTCACCCCCAGATATTGCATTTGTGCTTGTCAGCTGAGAGCCAGTCCCAAATGTTTTTTCCCCAGGCCCAGGAGGACTAGGGACACCATCGTGTTCCTGAGGATAGAGAGGGCCAAGAACAAAATGACTCCTCATTCTTCCTGAGCCTCACCTCAAAGGCAGCTCCCCATCTTATGAGCTGAATCATCGTCCTGTAAAATGGGTAACCACCTTGTCCCCCCTTGCCTTGTCCATTCCTGGAGAGCCAAGTGCATGCCCTGACACAGACCATGGTGCTTTAAATAAGAATGGCCCCCCAAAGGCTCATCTATTTGAATGCTTAGTTACAGGGAGAGGAACGCTTTGAAAGGATTAGAAGGATTAGGAGGTGTGGCCTTGTTGGAGAAGGTGTGTCACTGCAGCTGGGCTTTGAGATTTCAAAAGCCCAGGTCAGGCCCAGTCTCTCTTTTTGCCTGCAGAGGTTACACTCCTATTCCTCCAGCACTATGTCTGCCTGCTGTGCCTGCTGGCAGGCTCCTGGCCATGATGACAATGGACTCATCCGCTGAAATTGCAAGCCAGGCCCCAGTTAAATGCTTTCTTTGTGAGAGTTGCCTTGGTCTTGGTGTCTCTTCACAGCAATAAAACACTGACTAAGATAAAAGTTGGTGCCAGGCAGTGGTGGTATACACCATTAATCACAGCACTTGTGGGGAGGGGGCAGGCGCCAGCAGATCTCTGAGTTCGAGGCCAGCCTAGTCTACAGAGACAGTTCCAGGACATCCAGGACTATACAGAGAAACCTTGTCTCAAGGGATAAAAAAAAGACAGAAGTTGGTACCAGGGACTAGGGTATTGCTGGAACAAGCAGGACCATGCTGTTTTGGGGAGCAATGGGGAAGACTTTGGGACTTTGAACTAGAACTACAGTGGGACACTTTAAGTGGGGCTTAATGGGCCATCCTAGTGGGAGCATGGAAGACAGCGCTGAGGGCAATTTGAACTATGAGGGCCCAGCTTGAGAAGTTCCAGAGGGCAAGAATATTAATAACTAGTCTAGGCCCCATCTTTTAATAGTTGGCAAAGAATATGGCTGCCTTTTGCCTTTGTCTTAAGAATCTGACTGAGGCTAAATTAAAGGGGGAGGGAAGGGGAGCAGAAATGGCATTTAAAAGTCTAGCGTTCAGGGAGATAAAAATTTAAGAAAAAGCCTGATGGTAAATGGAGTAAAGCGAGTGGTGACCTCAGGGCAAGACCCCACACAGCTAAGCTTCCAACTTGTGAAAATAAATTGAGGAAAAGCTTAAGTGGTAAAGGAAACCATTGAAAACAGAAAGCTAATGAACTGTGTTTAAGCAGGGGCCCATCTTCCAGCCCCAGCAAGCAGCAGAACTTGGCAGCTTCAGCCACGTGGCCCTGGCTTTAGAGTCAAGGTTACAAGAAAGAGGTTGTGGAACCTTCCTCCTCAGCTAAGGAAAGGGGCAGAGGCCAGCCTTATGTCAGGGGTGTCCCTGCATGAAGGCCGAGAGAAGCCACTGGGTGAAGAAAGGCCATTGAAGGTGAAGCCTGGATTACCTTGGAGACTACAAGATGTTGGAGATGCCAGAGCCATGGGATACCTGCCAGGAAGAGCTGCTGACAGGAAGTGGAACCACCCCTTGAGAGAGAAGCATGTTGCAGTCAACAAAGCTAAAAGGAGTTGAAGATCTAAAGAGCCCTTTGAAATCGGCCATGGAGATGCAGAATTTGGAGTGTGCCCTGCTGATTTTAGGTCTTGCTTTGGTCCAGCATTTCCTCATTATGTTCCCCTTCCTCCCTTTTGGAGTAGTAATGAATATTCTGTGCCACTGCATGTTAGAAGTATGTGATCTACTTTTGATCTTTATTTTACAGGAGTTACACTTAAGAGATTGCCATGAGTTTCAGAAGAAACTTTGAACTTTGGACTTTTAAACATTGTTGAGGCTGTGATAGAGTATGAGGAGTTTTGAATGCTTTTTTTTTTTTTTTTTTTTTTTTGCATTGTGATATGGCTACAAGCCTATGGGAGCCAGAAAGTGAAACGTGGTGGTTTAAAAAAGAATGGCTCCCATAAGTGCATACATTTGAATGCTTAGCCACCAAGGAGGAAAACTTTTTGAAAGGATTAGAAGGATTAGGAGGTGTGGCCTTCTTGGAGGAAGTAAAGCCCATGCCAGGCACAGTCGCTCTTTTTGCCTGCAGATCAGGAGGTAGCTCTCATGCTTCTCTGGCTCCCTGTCTGCTAATAAATGGACTCACCCTCTGAGACTGTAAGCAAGCCCCCAATTAAATACTTTCTTTTATAAGTATTGCCTTGGTCATGGGGCCTCTTTGAGGCAATGTAATAGTGACTAAGACACACACATAATTTCAAGTAGGTGGCTAGTATCAGGATGGAGAGAGCTGCATTGGAGAACCAGCTTGTCCTGGTCATAGTAAATGCCATGGCAGAGGGAGGAGTGACTATTAAGTCTTTTCCTCATGCCACCACCTTCAAACCACTAGTGGCCCTGAGCACAATGGCCCTTAAAACTGGTTTAGCACTGGGAAGGAAGTTTGGAGCTAAACACAGAAGAGTGAGGACTGGGCAATGGGTGTATTCTAGGAGGTGAGAAGATCATCTCAGAGAAATATGCTGCTCTAGATTCCCCTGGGGAATAAGATCAGTGTTTTGAGATTCATTTTGAAAGAACTGCGGGTTTTGAAATTGCCTGTCTCCCTGCTCGGCAGAAAGAACTTTCTCAAGCAATTCTGAACTGCACAAGGCTCTTGCGCTTGGCCTTGATAATCAGCTGATTGGCTTTTTGGAAGTGGCTGGATCCTTAGAGCGCCTCACATTTCTTCCAGGATGTAGTGTAGCACCTGCTCCTAGACTACAAACAAGGTGTTTGAAGCAAAAACTTGTTGAGATTTGACCTGCCTTTCCTTTAGAGGATTTCCTCTGGTGCTGAGGCTTTCTGTTCTGGTCTCTCAGTGGTATGGGATCCCATTGCAGCAACCCACACAAAGGCTGAGACGTAGCAGGGACAAAGAGCTATAGACAAGGTGGAACCATTTAGGGGTTCAGGCAACAAGCTCTAAGAGGGAAGAGTCAAAGATGACACTCAGCTCCAAGTTGGCAGATGAATGGGACTGGGAAAGACACATTTCAACCAGAAAACGAACTGGACTGGAGGAACAACCAAGGTCCAGAGATCTAAGGGTAAGTGTGAGCAAAGTGTGGTGAGCTTGTAGGTTAGACACACGTATCTGAAGAAGGCACGAAACCTCCAAATGGCACTTGTGTCTACAGGTCAGAATACTAGAAAATAGAAAAGATTACCCAGAAGGGAGACAGAAATAGAACAATGAATGCAATTCTGAGAAAACCAAGCAACAGCCAAGCCAGGAAAATGCACATTTGAGAAGGCAGCCTGGAGAAATCAAATCGCAGCAAGGAAACTGAGGCCCATGGCCACCTGATGGGAAAAAAGAGACTGTTAGCAACTTCAGAGAGGCTAGTCATTTGAGAGACAGGGGAAAATAGCAGGCCATGATGAGACACAAGGAAGTTGGAACAGGAAAGACAAACACCATTACTTGGAAGCCTGGCCTGGAACTGGAGAGGAATAAGGCCAGGGCACACAAAAACACACACACACACACACACACACACACACACAGTTACATGGGTATGAGCAATGAGTGGCTGTGGGTATATGCCAGGGGAAGAGCTCACGTTTAGGGCACAGACACACCCTAACTGAACAGACCATAGACCCAGGCCAGACCCTGCCCCTGCCTGAAGAGCAGCTACCAGGGCACACACGCTGGATGCATGCCTATAGGATGGGCTAAGCACGGAGCTCAACCTTGAGCTTGTTCTGAAATGTTCTGAAGAATGTCCCACGACCTTGGCAGCTCAGAAAGACGGTGGAAATGGTGCCATCATAGTTGCCTTACCAAAACAAAAAGACTTCTCCCCCCATCAGAAAAGAATGGCAGCCGACCTTATGGAGACTTTTTCTCAGTTGAGGTTCCCACACACACATCTTGCAGATAACTCTAACTTGTGTCAAACTGACATAAAACTAGTCAGCATGCTGGCCCTGCCTGTTTTCTTGGACACTAACTTAGTAGCAATGTCTTTCTCTCGTGTCCCTCTTTCTCCTCCTGACGGCTGTAGAGATATATGGCTTGCCTGCCCTATTGTTTTTCTCCCAAACTCTAATAAATAAAATAGTCCCTGGGGGTGGGGGGGGAGGAATGGGAGCCAGTGGTCAAAGCCACCCAAATACTGTCAAGTCCTGGCACACAGCTCACAGCCATCTGCACCATAAGAAAGGCTACCACATACCAGATAGAAATAAAGGTTCATGTTGGCTGTACAGCCAGATACAGCCTTCCGATCTCAACCCTGACATTGTGTTAAAGGTTTGTTGTTGCTGCTGCTGTTTTCCTGTATGTATGCATTGCACTGTGTGTGTGCCTGGTGCCTGTGGAGATCAGAGGCAGACCTTTGATCTCCCTTAGAACGGGAGCTACAGAAGGTTGTGAGACGCCACACAGAAGCTGGGAACTGAACCTGGGCCCCGTGTAAGAGCAGCCTGTGCTCTTAACTGCTGCACCAGCTCCCTAGACCCCGAGCCTCAATGTGTGACCCCTGAGTAACTTTCTCCAGGGGAATATTTACATCAAGTGGCCTGCTGTGGTGGACATAGACCGGGACCTGCACATAAAGCCGTTTACGGTCAGCTGGTCGGCTACAAGGTGGCCACGCCTTGTTTCTAGGGGAAGCCTCGGCTGAGAGCCGCTTAGGCTCCATTTGTTCGTCTCTGGAATGAAGCTAACCACACCTTTCTTACCAGTTTCAAGACCAGGTAAAAATTAACCCACCACACAGTCAGAGGAATCAGCAGGAAGATAACACTCGAGTCGTTATTTTTTTTTAAGGAGCTTCCCGAAGCACGCACACGCACCCGAGCTCACCCTGATGCCTCTGCTGTAAGGGATAACCTTGAGGATGCGCAGAGACTGGATGCCGTCAGCAATGTGGAGGTTTTTGTAGCGGTTCCCCTTGATCTTGCGGAGGGCGTAGGGTATTGAGACAATGATGATAATGACCACGTCCAGCAGGTTGTAGCCATCCCTCCAGAATTTAATGGGCTCCACGTAGACCTTCATCAGGAATTCACAGGCGTAGATGGAGACAAAGAAGATCTCTGATACCTGCGGGGGTCACAGGGGTTAGGGATCAAAAGAAGAGCAGAGCCCCGTTTTCTGGGCCTTTGCCTGCTGAGGCCACTCAATCACGGGTGGAGAAATCCAGACTCCTCGATCTCCTGAAGAGGCTGGTTCTTTTCTCCTTTTGAGTCCTCCTTGCCTACGGCTCTAAGCCTAGGCTTCCCCTGAATGCAAGGCATCGCCACCTTGTAGCTGACCAGCTGGCTGTAAATGGCCGTATGTCCAGGTGCTGGTCAACAGCCAACACAACAGGCCACCTACATAAATATTCCCTGAAAGAGAGTCCCAAGACTTTTCTGGCCATCCTGCATACAGACACTTTTAGGGGTGAAATACACAAATATCTAGTTTTATTCCATTACCTTCATCACACATACTTAAAAATCAGTCAGCTAAAGTCACCTGGTTTTGAAGGGCGGTCTGCTTTTTTTTTTTTTTAATTTAACCACTTTTATACTGTTTGAACCAATCTCCTAACGTTTCTCCCTCACCTACACCGCCAATGCTTTTCCTGTTGCCTACCATTACGACCTTTTAGAAACAGCTAAGATTTTTTTCTCTTCATCAAAATTCATTTGTCATCTTGATGATCATCTCCTGTTCATTCACTCATGTGTGAAAAGATGGCAACAGCCATGTGCCAAGCAGGTGCCATTTTACTTATCAGGAGATGAACAATTAAGACAGAGTCCTGGTGTTGGGGAATTTTGAGTGGGGAAGAGACAGGCTCTCAGCCCCTGCAAGTAGAGAGGCTTAAGGGGAGCTGGCAAGAGCAGCACAGAAGGCGGGGGCTGGGGGGGGGGGTCACCCGGGCAGCAGGTGCCAGTAGAGTTCTGCATGACACAAGGAAAGAGATAACCGAGATTCAGATGAAGCCCCAAGCTTCAAATACAGTGACTGGGTCCTAGGGCGAGCCTGAGGGGCGGTAAAGACATTCTTGGGAAAGCAGGGCTTGGCAAAGGTTATTGTCTTTCCTGGTGTTTGCATTGTTTCCTAGCAGTTTGTAACCAAGTTCCTGACTCCAGCTGGATACAGTTTCCCTTCTTCACCTGGCCCTTGTCTATACTGGGCACCAAGGCTGAACTACTGCATGAGCTCACTGGGTGAGGCCGGATGCCACGAATCTAGGAACCAAAAGAGTTTTGTATGTCTAGAATTAGACAGCCCTCCCAAGCACATGTAAAATCCTTCGTCCAGACTTGCCTGCTTTTCAGGGGTTGGGAGCATAGAATTCAAGCTTCTAAGGTGACACTTTCTAGAGTCAATTTTGTAAATTCTTTTCTAGAGAACTGTTCCAGCGGATTTTCAAATGTACCAGCATTAAATTATCAGAGTTTCTTTTTTTTAAAGTTAGGCTTAACATTTTCTTTTATCCCGCTTTATTTATTCAGCCTGTGCACGTGTGTGTACAAGGACAATGACAGGTGGCCACAGTGTTATGTGTGGAGGTCAGTTCTCTCCTTCCACCACTCTGGTCCCGGGGATCAAACTCAGGTCATAAGACTTGGCAGTTGGCACCTGTACCCACTGAGCCATCTTGCCCGCCAAGCTATCAGATTTTTATTTATTTTTTAACTTCTTTATTAATCACACTTTATTCACTTTGTATCCCCCCTGTGGTTCCCTCCCTCATCCCATCCCAATCCCTTTCTTCCTCCCCCCCTCTGCACACATGCCCCTCCCCAAGTCCACTGATAGAGGAGGTCTTCTTTTCCTTCCTTCTGATCCTAGTCAATTAGGTCTCATCAGGAGTGGCTGCATTGTCTTCTTCTGTGGCCTGGTAAGACTGCTCCCCCATCAGGGGGAGGTAATTAAAGAGTAGGCCAATCAGTTCATGTCAGAGACAGTCCCTGTTCCTATTACTATGGAACCCACTTGGATACTGAACTGCCATGGGCTACATCTGTGCAGCGGTCCTAGATTATCTCCATGCATGGTCCTTGTTTGGAGTATCAGTCTCATGAAAGACCCCTGTGCTCAGATTTTTTGGTTCTGTTGCTCTCTTGTGGAGTTCCTATCCTCTCCAGATCTTACTGTTTCCCATTTCTTTCATAACATTCCCTTCACTCTGCCCAAGTGTTGGCCATAATTCTCAGGATCTGCTTTGATAGTCTGCAGGGCAGAGCCTTTCAGAGGCCCTCTGTGTCAGGCTCCTGACTTGTTCCCTCTTTTCTCCTTCTTCTGATGTTCATCTCTTTGCCTTTCTAAATAGGGATTGCAAGCTATCAGATATTTAAACATCCATCATGTCTATACTTTCCCTTCTTCTTTGTCTTCTTCTTTGTCTTCTTCTTTTTCTTCTTCTTCATTTCCTTCTCCTCCTCTTATTTGTCTTCCTCTTCCTCCTCTTCTTCTTCATCTCCATCCTCCTCCTCTTCTTCATCTTCATCCTCCTCCTCCTCTTTACTGTTCATGAAGAAAGTAATTTTAACTATTTTTAAGAGTCCAGCTCTGGGCTTTGTTGCTGCTTTCTCGGCTCTTACAGTTGAGCCTGTTTTCTATTTTGTTAATTTCCACTGTAAGTTTTCCTGTTTCCTTCTCCTGTTTTGGGTTTGATTTCATTCTGTTGCTCTTCCTCCAACACCGCAGCTTCTTTCCTTACTTTCCATCTTTCCTTACTCTCCCCTCCCCTCTGTCCCTCCTCCTCCTCTTCCTTTTCTTTATAGATGTTGGAATTCAAACCCAGGGCTTGTGCACACCAGGAATGACCTCTCCTCCTGAGGCAGAGTGACAGTCTCTACTAGCTTAGATTCATTACAGCACACGTGTGTGATGTATATGTGTGTTCAAGTGTGTGTTGTGTGTACTGCTTTGTTTGCCTAGCTCACTGCTCACCAGTTTTCCCCGTTTTAAAGTATGGAATTCAGTGCCTTATGTTTTATTAGTTCAGGATACTTACTGCCTTTGTTTTTTTATTGTGGTAAATAAAGCATGTAACTTAAGTTTGCCATCCTAAGGTGCACATGCTGTGTTCACACTACCATCTCGTCTGTCTCCAGAATCGCCAGCCTGCCTTCAGCAGTGATCACACCATTTCATAGTCTCACAAGAATGTAGAAGGGTCTGGTCTCTGCATAGTCGTGCACACTTGTTTCCTATTTCTGTTGCTTTTAGAATAGCCATCCTAATTGGTATGACATCACGTCAGGATGGTTTTAATTGGCATTTCCTTAATAGCTGGTGATGGTGAGATGGTACTTAATGGCCATGCATTCTATTTTCTTTGAGAAACAGCTATTTAACTGTTCGAGTCCTTCACCCATCTTTGAAGATATTGTTAAACCATAGAAACCATACATGTGTGTGTGCGTGTGTGTTAAGTAGAGTTTATTTTTAACTTGAACTTATTCTTTTGGAAATTTTTGGTTTTTATTTTTGTTTAGTTGTTGATGGTTTGCATTGGTTTTTGTTTTGTTTGGTTTTGTTTGGAGGGGGTGTTATTTGTTTGATAGGGCCTCATTCCAGGCTGGCCTCAAACTCACTACGTAGCCAATGACATTGATGACCTTGAACTTCTGCTCCTCCAGCCTCTTCGCCCTGAGTGCTGAGGGTACAGGCATGCACCACCCATGCCCAGTTGTATGAGTCACTGGGCTCAAACCCAGGGTTCTATGCATTCTAGGCAAGCATTCTACCAACCAAGCTGTTCCTGGCCCTCTCCTTGGATGCTGTTGTAAATAGAGTTTTCTTCATTACCTTTTCAGATTAGTAATGTTTAGAGATCAACTGATTTTTGTTGCTTTTCTATCTCAAAACTTTACTGAATCTGTTTAAGAGCCCTTCCACTGTGTTTGTGTGTGTGCATGTGTCTGTCTGTCTGTAGTACTATCATAAGTTTGAGTCAACTGGAAATAGAGATATTTACTGTTTTCCTTTCCTGTAGCTACCTTTCTTTTTCTTGCCTAATTCCTCTGGCTAAAACTTCAAGTACAGTGTTGAATAGAGCAAAAAGCTGTCAATTTTGTCTTGTCCCTGACCTTAAAGCGAATGTTTCTAGTCTTTTAAGAATGATGTTACCTGTGAATTTTCTTAATGTCCTTAATTTTAAAATTACTGATACTTACTTAATGTGTGTGAATGTTTTATCTGCTTGTATGTCTACCAGCTGTGTACCACATGTGTTGCTTATGGACTCAGAAGTCAGAAGAGGACACGGGATTCCTTGGAACTGGAGTTACAGGTGGTTGTGAGCCTCCCAGCAGGTGTTGGGATAGAACCTGGAATCTATGAAAAAGCAAAAAGTGCTCTTAACCACTGAGCCACCTCTCCAGCTCTTCACTGGGAGGAATTTTCCTTCAGTGCCTAATTTGTTAAAAGATTTTCGTTGTCTTGGTTTGCTATAAAATTGTTGATTTCATCAAGCGCAAATGCTTTTTCTGCATCAATGGAAACGGTTGTGTGGATCATCCCTTATCTGTTGGTCAGTTACATTGGTTGGTTGTATTACTAGACATTAAACTCAGTGCTAACCACATACTCTACCCCTGAGCTTTGGGTTTGGTCTTTTTGTTTTATAAATCATTTTGTCCCAATTGGTCATGGTGTATAATTATTTCAAGTCTGCTGTGGTCTAGTCTGTTAACAATCAGTGAGGACCTTTGCATCATTGGTTTTAAGTGGTATTTTTTATAGTTCTATTTCTTGTGTACCTCAGTCTGCCTTAGCACAGGCTAGCCCCATGAATGAGCTCAGAAACACTCCCTCATCTTTCATTCCTTTGGCAGTTTCAGAAAGTCTGGCATTGATGCATAGGCTTTCATTGTTCTTTGATTACTGATTCAGTCTTTTACAGGACTGGGAAGGTCCATTTACTGTTTCTTCTTAGGTCAGTTTGTCAGTCTGCACTGTATCCATTTCCTTTATTTAATCTGTTGGCATACAATTATCTATCTTATTCTTCTCTAATCCTTTTCCTTCCTGTAAGGTCAGTAGTAATGACTCAATTTTCACTTCTAAAAGCAATTTGAATCACTGTTCAAAATAGC